TACACACACAAAAGGTTGGCATGTGTCGGGGTGATTTCCACACAAATCAGTGATGAGCTGGAAGACACGATCTGGGTCGGTGCATCACATTCAGCTGGGGAAGGGTGAAGGCCCGAAGATTCGGTGTCTTGTATATCTCATTATAAGTTTCGCTCAGACTGCCAGCTGACAAGCGTGTGCTTGATGGAATCCAGATCATTCAGCTGCAGCACTCTTTCGGGGCCTAGCTAGCATGCCACCCAAAGGAGGCACGAGGGCTGGAATATTGCCAGGTTGCTTAAGCCTAAGCAGGGGAAGCCGAGAGGCAGAGTTTGGGTTCGAACCACGGACCTTCCGGCCAGTAAATTCGCGCTCTAACCACTGAGCTGAGCTGTGCTCGCTGGTGGATGAGGCGATCATGACTTACACTAACGATATCCACGTTGCATATTTCGCTCACAACAAACGTACGTCCACTGCGCCCGGTAATTTGTGACAAATTAGGTGATGGATTGTTGAAAAGTGCTGTTAAAAATTGGGAATACTTTCACGAGGACCAGTAACGTCTCAACAAGCCTAGAGGAACGAAGTTGCGACCTGCAGACAACAGGAAAACTGGTAAAAACATTTCTAACTGATATGAACAACCATCAGGAAAGGTCGCCCAAAGACAGAAGGCTGAATATTAAAAATACATAATGATCCGCGAGAATGGTTCGTTGGACAAGAAAATACTGAAATCCTACTAGCTGAAGGAAGTCCAGAAAACTATCCTGAAGCAGACTTCTTAAACCAGAGGGACCCTGATCAGAAGTATGACCGATAGAAAACCTTTTCTTACCGGTGTGATAAGCAACGAAACACGCTGCTTGACCAAATCAGGATGCGTGTCCTCACCCCTGAAATGGCCGCCCACGACTGTAATGGATGCGACTCGAGAGCGGGTCACTGAACTCAGACAACCAAAACCTCCTTCAAGCCTACTAGTCTCCACAAAAAAACTCAACTGGAAGTGGTAGTTGGGTTTGCATGCGCAAATGAGTCCGCGAGGCACATTGGCTGGAAATCCGTCCCACAGGATTCCACCATGCCAGGAAGGCCAAAGAGAATAGTTAGACAAGCAGCAATGAGCCTCCGGTACTACAACTGACAGCAATACGAGGCGGAAAAGGTATAATTTCTTCTGCGATAAGAATGAAGGATGTTCGGTCCAAGCGATAAGCATATCCATATTTATAGAAGCAAGGGTGCTGTCTCCCCCCAAGGAAGGACAAGTCAGGAACGGTCCGCACTCAGTTGACCCCGACCGCCAGCTAATTAACCAATACGGTTCAAACACAATTAGAGTTTGATGCGATTCCAAAGGAATCTGCTGTTCGTAGAAGCATTGGATGTGAGACACCTTTGAAGCTGTGCTTTCAGATAGGTCGGCTTTCCACAGCCAAGTGGATCGGACTGTTGGGTCGCTGGATCCGGGGAGGATTCAGTCAAAAACTACCCTACATTGGGTCGAAGCTTACAGTCGGGTGCCTCAAACGACCCAGCTTCTTCGGACTATAAACCCGGAAGATATGATACACCCTTGAAGCTCTTTGTTCACCTGCTCTCGCCTGCACCATCCTTCAACTGCTTCGTTGTGGTCGATCCACTTGTATGCCCCCTCCCCAACCATTCTTCAGCGCCCAAACTACCGCCATGAAACTGCTTTAGTAAACTCAAAAGATCTGATTCACACAGCAGCCTACCCTGCTGAAACCTAGCTTTCTCTCTGCCGACGTGTGTAATCCCTGAAACCAGTGTAGAAGACCCCACTTCGGTCGTGCACACCAACCCAGATAGGTAGAATTCAGAAGTTTCACACTTCACTCTTTCGCTATGTGGTGATCCTGACGCGACGATCCCTTATATTTATGGCGTAGGGAGTGGACTTGGCTTTGGAGCTGAAAGCGTTTAACTAGACTGGTTCGAACAAGATCAATGCGATACGATAAAATGTTTAGTTGTCGTGTGACAGTATATCCCGACACGCCGTGGTTCTAGGACTGAGAAAGATGGACTCTATCGAAACCTGTCATGACTGCTCCGGCTAGTAAGAACTACCGTTTTCAGCCGAGCAGGAAACGTACAGTCGATGGACATCGGTTGTGGGATGAACTGATCAGTTCTTAGGACTGTTTTTCTTACTGTATGAATGTGGAACTTTATCGAGATCAGCAGCTCTTGTTGAAACCAAAAGAGCCATACCAGCGAGTGGTTGCCACAATGGCGCACAAAGATCCCTCAAACACCGGATAACTAAGAGCTCGAAGGACGTAGAACGATGTTGGTTTGCGAAGACACAGCAGAAGGCTTTTGCTGCACGAAAAAAACGAACTGAAAAGAATAGTTCGACGAACAATGGTCGGCAGAGGAATATCAACAGGTAGAGAATATCCACTGCAAAATTATAGAAAATAATCGTTCAGTTGTAACATCTTTCGGTGCACAGTCATCACATCACACGAAGGAGGCACAAGGGCAAAAACACTGCCAAGCGTAGACAGTGCCAGTCAAAATGTGAGGTTGGCATCAATATAAGGACCATCCAGTAGGCAATTTCGCGCTTCATGCACTGAGCTGTCTCAAGCACCACAGCGCACAATCACAACGAATGGAAACATTACTGGGCGTCTGGAACAGGAGCACAATAGCACACGAGGACATTCACGGATACTTCGATTTACTCGAAAGTAAGATGACGTTCCGAGTGCGTGAATCACTTAGACCCGAGGCATACGCTGCTAGGAAAGCAGGAAACTATCTAATTAAGTGGATAGAGCAGGAAAACCGAATGCTATTCAGGGTTGCAGGAAAAATCTAGTGAGTTACTCAAAATATCAATAGTTTCCTCCAACGAACTTGCATCTACATCATCGGTTCCGAAAATGAATGAAACGATCAGTGAGTTACGGAATTTTTACACCAATCGTTGAGGACCAAGGACGCGCAAGCATAACTCAAAATCCAACGCACTTTAACAAGTCCACCTTCCTCCTTAGATCCAACGAAACACGGAAATAATCAGCCACATTTGCCATCAGGCTGTCCTCCATTGCACATCGACCGTGATCATGCCATTCATGGTGCCTGAAAAAGAACATGGGGGGAATCTGGTGTGACAATCAAAAGTGCAATAAGACAGAGGACACTCGAGCTGTAATGTTGACATTTTCGGCACGCCTCAGACCGGAAATGTTACCAGAGCCAAAAAAGGTTTGTTTCGAATATCGGCTTTCATAAACCAAGCTGACTTACACCTCGCCCGCAAAGGTTGTGACCCAGCCCAAACCATTTTGTCAAGTGTCTCTCAAGGGTACACCCACTTGCGAAGGGATAGTAACCTTGCTAGTCTCACTAAATTATCGAGTGGTTTTTGGTCAAAACTGAGCTGCACCGCACCGACACGGAGCACACGAATGCCCCAAAACCGAGAACAAAGAAAGTGACTTATAGATGTACAGACTTTTTCGGATGTCAATTCAATGTTTGGACGATGAACATATTGACCGGGATAGTGCGAAAAGGAACGAAAGTTCGTAATTAGAGTACAGATGGTCCAAATTTTCAGTCGCACTAATTAGTCCAATCCTATTCTGTCCTAATTTGTCCTATTGTTGTGTCTTGATGGACGATCGTGCAACTCTCTATGAGTCCCTTGGGTTCCTGCTCCGCCCACTAGGGTATATCAAAAGGCACGGTAGATCTAGACAGTGCTCGCCTGATGTTGTGTCTTCCTGAACGGTCGTGCAACTCTGTGCCGGTCCCTTGGGTTCCTGCTCCGCCCACTAAGGTATATCAAAAGGCATGGTAGCAATACACAGCCCTTTATGGAGATAAAGGAATATTACTACAACTGTATTTATAAGGTAGTCACAGAGTGTTCCACAAGGTCGTGCCAGAATATCCGTGAGGAGGCGAGAAGCTTCGAATCGAAGGTGCTTGACTCGCATTGACTGGCATTCTGACAAATCAGAGCATGCCTTTGTTTGGTCTGTGTCCTGCACGTGACACAAATGATGTCCAAATGATGTGGTGTTCGATTATTAGGGACGGTTGGCCTCCGTACACCTATTTATGTGTTCACTTTGCTCTGTAGTGTCTACTCGCGCACATGTCTCGAACTCGACCAGCATAATCGTACGAGGTGCATGAGCGATCCGACCATCCAACTTTATCATTATTACTTATTATTACTAATAATACTAATATTAATACTAATACTAATACTTATTATTACTAATAAGTAGCCATGCGCGAATTCTGGTTTTATCGAGCAGCTTCACCATCCGGTGTTCCCTAAGTGAATCGTTTGATTTACAGGACCCGTTCGACCACAGACATGCCTAAGAGCTAAGATATCATCACTAGACGAGGCTTGAGCCGGTAGTGCACATAGCGAAAACTCGGTGGTATTGGTGGTGGTGGTCAGCGGTCACATGAAAGAGCGATTATAAAAGTCACGCATTTCTATTAGAAGGGAAGGCTAACACTATAGGAGAAAGAACTGAAAAATCTTTGAAGAGAACCAGAACTACTTGCCTGTATCAGTAGTAAAACATTGTGTTGTGTTTGGAAATCTCGTCTCACGATTATGTGCGGGCAGCACAGCTACCGAAAATTCAGACGGGAAAGGGAGGAATCTTTCCAGAATATCTGTCCAAACAAAAGCGGACGCAGACGAGTGGTATGGGGTAGGTAATCTACTGAGAGTTGGTGACTGTTTCCAGTTCGAATGCCGCCCGAAGTGGTTTCCGACCGGACACCTTTTATCCATCACTCCGGTTAAAACAAGTGCCAAGAGAAGGTAGTGGGTAGGACCTCCTAAGCAGAGGCTTTGAGGACCAGGTCTGTTTTGACTACCGTGAGATGAGTTAGAATAGCCAAGGTCACATTCCGAAACAGCTACACCTGACTAGATTCAGAGGTTGAAAGTCCTTCTGGTTAATGACCCTGCGTCGGACAATTTCGAACTAACAACTAGCTGTGTAGAGGTGCCTCCAAGGATAAACAACAGATGAGACCGGAGCGTGATTTGCAACGCGTCTCCAAATGAAGCCTCACAGGGTGTTGAAAGCAAATCAATCACCAAGAGAGTGTCAACGGCCTGACCAAATGCTTTTGTTTACATAGCTCTTTTTGGTTGCCATCTGAGAGTAATGGGTCCAGTAAACTGCAAAAACTTAGCGTTCGTGTCCTGCAGCATAACATTAGTGCTCAACACCGATGCTTTGCTGCCGCAGAACCATCGACTGACTTGACAACTTAACAGTCGTTCACCTGTAATGCGCATTCGGTGCCCAGCTGCCATAGAACCCGAAGAGGAATCACGAGGTACTGTCAGTTTGTCCAAGCCTGCACAGGAGCAGTCGAGATGCCGAGGTTGGGCTGGAGCCACGGTTCATAAGTTCGCACGTTAACCACTAGGCAATCTCGGGTCCAATTGATTGACTTACCAGAATTGGTGAGCGTCCGCTCCCGGAAACAAATTGGGCCAATACATATTCAGTTCTTCTAATAACGGCTGTAAGGAATGGGGAAGAAAGACGAAATTTCATCAGGAGCCACACGTTTGTGTGCAGGTTCCGATTGTAGTGAATCCTCGAAGGAATTGATTTCCGCGTTTAAAAAAAATCAGTGCTGGAACAAGTGAAAAAGTGTACGTTTGTCGTACCTTACTGCAAACACCTGATAAGACAACTCTGGAAAACACAAGGCGTCACCATCTGTGAAGTTACACGGATAGGAATCAACGGGAAGTCACTGTTGTCCTGGTTGGCTCGGGATTTTCAGACAATGTTTTCAATTAGAGAATTTACATCAATGTGCCATGTTTGTCCACTCGCTCTAATTACATACGTATACTGTGATACAACATGTTTTCCACACTGCCGTTGTGTTTAGAAGTGTAGGCAATAGGGTATTTGCCATAGGCTAGCTCCTTTCTATACGAGATGGATACCTTGGTCACCTGGTTATACGATATAAGCCTGGTTTCCAAACGTCTAACCTCTGTAGGATGATACAGAAAGAAAGGCACCCTTTCGGTGCCTAGCTGCCATGCCACCCGAAGGAAGCACGAGGGCTAGGATACTGCCAGGTTGCCCAAGCCTAGACAGGGGAAGTCGAGAAGCGGAGGTCGGGTTCGAACCACGGACCTTCCGGTTAGTAAATTCGCGCTCTGACCACTTGGGCCATCGCGCCCATGCGAGTAGTATATGTTGTTCTTGGAATTTCGCTTTGAGTTCCTTGAAAAGGGGAGATCTGTTGCGGAATTCGTGGAGTCGCTTTGAAACATTTGCTTGGATTTGAGCAATGAATGATTGGAGTCAATGAATATCCCGGAAAGTTCAAGAAGACGCGTTCAGGAGAAGATGGATGTCCAGTTTTTGTAAATAAGGTGCATATGAGAGATTGGCTTCTCTGTCCAATAGTCCGTAACCGGTCAGTTGGCATTTTCTAGTAAATAACTTCGCAGCGAAGGCCTTTTTCCTTTCACAGGTACCCCATCAGCAATATATGAAGGTGTTTCGCCGAGATACTTGTGGACTAACAGATCTCCTAAGTAAGTGGCACCCCGTAGCACGAAAATGGTTTATGCATACGAAAGTACTTCATGTGAAAAGTTAAAAATCAAAAGGTAATTGAGCTGGGCTACCTTTGTAACCGCAAAAAAAATTCGTTCAGAGATAACAGCCTTCAGGTGTCTGGCTGCCACGTCTGGCTGTCCGTCACGAACAGACTGGACCTTACCGTGGTGTGACGGTTTGCGCACCTCAGCGATCCATTGAGCTATACTGAGGAGTGTCCCCGCGACACTCACAGAATCTCTCATACCAGGTTGGTCAATGGTTGGAGGTCTACTGGCCCTACAGGTTGGGGGTTGGAACATGTGGCGACTTGTTCCGTAGAAATGGTAATGCATTTGCATTTCCCGCCAAACACTGCTGACTTGCGGTTAGGCTTTTGAGCCAAAGGCTTTGGTTGAGGACCCTAATCGTCCTCCTGTCTAGGTGTGGGCGCCCTGGCAG